TGGGCAGGTAGCCGCGATAAAGGGCACGGAGTCCTTCCCGCTGCAGGATCTGCCGCGTGCAGTCCAGCAGCCCCTTGTACTGGCCTGTCTGGCGCAGGGTCAGCCTCGTCTTCAGCACCTGGGGAGGTGGAGAGTGAGGTGGCTCTCAGCAACCCTCTGTGGGGGCCACTGTCCCATCCTACAAAGGATGGGGCTTAGGAATGCACAGAGCTGGGTTCAGTTCCAAAGCCATCTGATCCCTTGGCCTGTGTGTGTGCTTGACCCAGATTTCAGACCCTCAAGTGCCCCAGGCCAAGAGGGAAAGGGAAGTGACAGGAGCTAGTGGGGTCTGTGGCAACTTTGACCTCGTGTGAGCCAAACATTGTGCCAACCTCCCCCCTCCGTGGGGTCAGTGCCCAAGTCTGACCCTAGGTGGCCAGATCTGCTAATTTTCCAAAAGAAGCCAGACATTGAAATTTTTATGAAATGCCTGGTGTCAAAATATTGGCAACTCTTATGATTGCACCAAAGACACAACATTAAGTGTGTTAGGCAAAAATCATAAGGTGGTTCCCAAGATTCCCATCCTCCCCAATATGCATGTTATGTGTGATGCCCACCCGCCACCTTGAGCATGAACTAGACCTGTGGCTCTGATGAGAGATCACTCTGCCGATCAGGTTACCTGACAAAGGTGAGGGATTCTGCAGATGGGATGAAGCCTGGGCAGATGGAACTGTCCTAGGCAGACCATATCAGGTGAGCCCTTTTAAAGAGGCCATTGCCAAAGAAGAAATCAGAGAGATTGAAAGCATCAGAGACACCCTCTGGTTGGACTTCAGCAAACTGCTGTGGAGAACATCACATAACTGGGACCACTGGGTGGCCTCTCGGGAGCCGAGGACCTCAGTCCTACAACCACAAGAAACAGAATCCTGCCAACAACCACAGAACTTGGCCGAGGACACAAGCCTCAGATGGGTTCATTGGTAGCCCAGCCAACACTTTGGTTTCTGCCTGATGAGACCCTGAGCAGATGACCCCACCAGCCAGTGCCCAGACATGACCCACATAAACAGAGAACACATCTGTATCACTGTAAGCTACTGAGTCGATGCTAATTTTGATAACCAGCAATAAAAGATGAAAAATGTGATGGGAGAAACTTAACCCAACAAGGGCAAGAAGTACACGAAGAAAACTTTAAAAGACCATTAAAGGACAAGCAAGGAGACTTGAGCCAACAGAGGTGTTCGTGGATATGTAGACCCAGCATCATACGGGTGGCCACAATCTCTAAATCTATATATGAGTTGGACACCATCCCAATGAGAAACAAGTACATGGGTGATTTTTTTCTGAACAAGACAAGTTGCTTCAAAAGTTGACATTGAAAAATAAGCACAGGAGAACAGCTTAGAAAAACAAAGAAGAGTGGGGATGGAGAATGATAAAAACTAGTATCAAGCCTCAAAAATTACAGACGAAAGGCAGAGCTATGTAGACAGTAAAATGATCAGCGGTTGCCTGGGATTCAAGGAGAAGGGGTGACATTCTGGAGCAGCAAAACCACTCTGTGTGACACTGTCATGGTGGATACACGTCGCCATACATCTGTCCAGACCCAAAGAATGTAGGACACAGAGATTGACCCCTAATGTTAACTGTGGGCTTCAGAGAAGAATGATGTGTCAACCCTCTTAATGCAAGATCACAGCTGGAACTTTGTACACCTGGGGAGAGGTAGATGGGAACCTTTTGTTCACTTTTTCTGTAAACCTAAAGTGGCTCTATAGAATAAAGTCTAATTGTTAAAAAAAAAATTAAGACAGTAGTGAGTAAATGGACACCAGGACAACAAGAGAAAGGCCAGAAATAAACCCAAATATAAGCAGGAATTTAGTCAATTACACAGGTGGCATTTACGATCCTTGTCAGGGAAAGGATGGGACCCATCCAGTAAAGAGTGTTGAGACCACCAGGGGGCCATCTAGAATAAAAATTTGATACATAACATATCTCATATGAAGAAGAAGGAGAGGAGGCGGCAGTGACAGCTGGCTACTAATTTTCATCTTGTTTCACCTTCCACGGGTCAGACACTCTTACCTCCATGGGGTTGATGAGCGTCTGGGAGGTGGCCACAGCCAGGGACCCTGCAAGGAGACGTTCCTGAGGGGCCAAGGAGCCATGCGTTTCACAGAGGTGATTCTTACACTGCGGCAGGAGAGAAGAGCATGAGAGAAAAGCTAACCAGCTCCCCACCTGACACCCCCTCCCGGGGAGAGGCCTGGAACCTGGGGGGGAGTTCAAAACGGGATGAGGATCTGGGCTTTTTGGGGGGTGTAGGATGGGTTTGAGTTTGAGGGTGGAGCTGGGAAAGTGGACCATCCCCACACCTGTTCAAAGACGGAGAACTTGATGGCGTACTCGGGGGCGATCTTGAGCACATTGATGCCATTGCCCCGCCACAGGGAGCAGAAGCCCCCCTCCTGGACCATGCTCCGTAGGCCCCCCAGCAGGTTCGTGAAGTTAGTCTTGGACGAGTAGACCTGGAGAGGTCCCGGCTCTGTGAGGAGCCCTCCACCCAGCTCCATGCCCACCCAGCCACCCAAGCCCATTCCTTCTCCAGCCTCCTTCCCTGGCTGGCCCTGGAATGCTCCAACCCAGCCCGGACCCCCGTTCCCATCTCACCCACACCCCTCCTTCCTCTCCGTCCAGCCCCCTCATCGATGGCTCCAGCTCTGTGCTCCCCACACACCTGCATGTGCACCTTGACGCAGTCGAGAGGGGCCGTGCTGGTGCGAGACACAGCTCCGGCCATGGCTCCTGACAGCAGAAGCTTCCACAGGGCACACCCGCTGTCTGCTTTCAGCACGTCCACAGGGACCATCAGCTGCTCTCCTGTGTCCAGCACCTGCTGGGAAGATCCAACTCCCACCCATACTCAGCCAGCCTGGAGATCCTCTCCAGATACACCTCCGAACCCCCTCCCAGACAAAGGTCCATTCTGGTCCCTGCTGCTTCACGGTGGAATTCTAGGCCTACTTGGAAGGGAATGGGCCCTTCTCTACCAGGCTAGAGGTTCTGGAAGACCTGTGGTCCCCAGACTCACCTGCTGAGATGGAAGATTCTCCAGGTTGTTTGCAAGCACATGCCCGACCTCGTACCCATACCCGTGCGTACAGCCCAGGTCCTGGGAAAGGGGTGGCGGTGGTGTTGAGGGTGGGGCTTTGGTGAGTAAGGCCTTGACCCTCTTAAACAGGGTCTGGAACCTTGAGTAAGGCTTCTGAGCTTCCTCAGGTTGAGACCCCATGGTCACGACACCCAGGTTCAAATGCCTGGTGAGAAGTCTGCCCCCCCACCAACCACATGGGAGGGTCACCTTGTGACTCAGGTTCCGAGGGATGGTGAAGTCACAGAAGCTATTGTGACCTCACTGGATATGGTGGCAGGGAGAGGATCTGCCCCTGAAAGGGTCCACTTACTAATCCCCCTAGACCTATGAATGTATTATGTTACATGACAAAGGAGAAATTAAATTTACAGATGGAATTGAGGTTGCTATCTAGAGATTATTGAGGATTAACCACTACTGGGCCACTCTAATCTCACAACTCCTTAAACAGGGAAGAGGAAAGCAGAATACTGGGTATTAAAGACTCAGCCAGCCCTTGCCAACTTTGAAGAGGAAGGAAGGGGCTGCGCCCCATGGCCTGCAGGTGGCCTTTACAATCTGGAAAAAGGCAGGAAGCCTCCAGAAGAAGCCAGCCTCGCTGACAGCTTGATTGTTAGCCCAGTGAGATCCACGTCAGGCTTCTGACCTCCAGAGTAATATATGGTTTGAAGCCACCAAGTTTGTGGTCATTCATTACAGCAGACACTGCGTTTCACTGTCCTGGCCATGGGAGACGGGAGGGAGGGAGGGTGGGGAGGCTCTGGGACTTCGGGAGATGAGACCCAGCCGGTCCCTAACGTAAGACAGGCGTAGGTGTGGAGTCCAAAGGACCTGGGTTTGAATCCCATTCAGGACACTTCTTGCTGTGTGATCTTGGGGCACCTGCCTTACTTCTCTGAGCTTTGGTTTCCCCATATGGAAATTAGCAGCAATGGGAAACTCTACCACCACGCGTTGTGGGATGCAGTGAGTCTTTGCCAAGGACACCTCTGTCCTCCTTGTTTGAGTCAAAAGCCCCGATGTCATCCTTGATTCATCCCGTTCTCTCATGCCCACTCTCTGTCACCAAATCCTGTGGGCTTCACCTTAAAATATAGCCAGGATCTGGCTGCTTCTTACCATGCCCACGGCCACTCTCCTGGTCCAACCCTGTCATCGGTTACCTGGACCAGGGCCCTCACCCACTCCTCAGTCGGCCGTCCCCGATGAGGCCACCAGAGGGCACCCGTGAGCACCCGAGTCAGGTCCCCTCCCTTGCCCCTCAGTCTGTCCCCCCAGAGGCGCAGGTGAGCACCTGCTCCAGGTCTCCCCTCTGCCCACAGCCCTGCAGGCTCCCACCTCCCTGGGGTATGAGCCCAAGTCCTCCCTGCGGCCCACCAGTCCCTACGCCAGCTGCCCGACCCCTCCTCCATCTCTTCCCATTGCTTATTCTACTCCAGACACACTGGTCTCCTCACCGTTCCTCCAACACTCCAGGCGTGGTGCTGCCCCAGGACCTTTGCATACCCTGTGCACTCTGCCTGGGATGCTGTTTCCCTAGACATCCCCACAGCTCCCTCCCTTACCATCTTTAAATCTTTACTCAAGTGCCACTTCTCCTTGCTGCCGTTTCAGAGCACCGTATTTAAAATTTAAGTTCTGCCCTGCACAAAATCATGGGGACAGTTTCAGTTCAGGAAAATGAGAAACTCCTAGAGAAAGATGGTGGGGATGGTTGGACAATGGACAATGTGAACATGCTTAATACAACAGGACTGGACACCTCCAATAGTTAAAATGGTACATGTTATGATATGTATTATTTTACCACAATAAGAAAAATATAACAATCTAAAAACCTTGGTTGCTTAAGACCCCAGTTTATGATATTTTATTACAGCAGCCCTCATAAACAAACACACTTGTGTGATTAGAAAAAGTACAGGAAAAACGAGAAGGGCTCACGAATGTGGCCGCTCCCTGCTCCTGCCTTACAGATGTGGAAACAGGCTCTAAAAGGGAGTCATTTTCTGGTCTCCTGGAACAGTGTGTTACTGGAGACGGCCCGTGTCCCTTCCCAGTGGGTAGTCTAAGGTGGCCCCACATCCACCCATCCCCCTTCAGTAAAAACCACAAGGAAAGAGCTTAGAAAATGTATTCCTTTCGTTCTTTTCCTTTAAAATCACACATACAGGTGGGAAGATGTGGTGTGGTGCAGGTGGGGAGAGGTGGAAGACTTGGGGGGTCCACCAGCCCCCCAAACATTCCAGCTCCTCTTTCACAGTCCTTTAATGGGGTTCCCCAAGGACTTGGGAAGCGTAGAGGAAGGGGTCCCCCCATTATTCTATACTCAAGATCCAAACTATAAAGTGCAGAATGTCCAGGGTGGGGCTGGGGGCTTGGTGGGTTGGGGATGCTGGGGTGATGTCTGCTCCTCTCTGGTAGAAAAATAGACCTGGAGTGCGTTTGGGGGATTTGGTTCCCTTTTGTTCTGCATAAGTGGGTGCCTGGATTTGGGGGAGGGTGGTCTGGGCAGGCTGGCCCCTGGTTTCCAACCCTAAAGCCTGGGGGTGGGGCTGGCAGTGCTGAGAAGTGGGGGGTCCACTCAGTGTGTCTGCGGCCTCTAATTGCCTCCATGAAAGTGCAACTGGTGCCTCCAGACAGTCCCAGGCTCTGCGGGTTATTAGCCTATAGGGTGGGGAGTGGCTGACGCTGCAGGGTGTGTGAGGGAGCATTTGAGGGTACAGTTTCCCCACAGGGCTGAGAGGTGTGGCTGTGCTGGAGAGATGGGGAGGTGGGGGAGGATCCGGTGTCTGCACAGGATGTGGGAGGTCATCTCCTGTCCTGTTGTCCGGCCTCCAGCTGTGTCAGGACTCTGGACAAGTCCCAGGAGTTTTATGGAGCCGGAGGCCAGGACCTGGGCTTACTGTAGGAATCTCTAGACTATGGGGAGCGTGCCCCCCTGGGGCGGGGCTCTCAGCTCTGGTGTGTGTCTGGGTTGGGGGTGTGTGGGAGTGGTCTTTGGGATCTAGACTTGAGCATTCAGGTCAGAAACCAGGGGCTAAGGGGTGGGGACCCGGTGTCTGGGAGTGCCCGGGTCTGCCCCCGTGGGTGAGGTTTCAGTGCCCAGTGCCCGCGGTGCAGGTATTTGGGGTCCAACAGCTGCAGCCGCCAGGACCACTCACTCTGCTGCCGGGCTCTCCCAATGGTGCTTTGAGGAGCCAGCATTGGGGGCTTGGGAGTCTGGGATCCAATGGTCAGGGATTGAGAATGCAGTGGTTGAAATGTAGGGGTCCGGTAGTCCAAGCACAGCGATCCGGGACCGAATGTCAAGGTAAAGGAATTCAGGAATCCAGGTTTTGGAGTGAGGGGATCTGGGATCCATTGCTTGGGGCCCTGGGATCTAGGCATCGCATTGTCCGGATCCAGTTTGTTGATATCCAGAATCCAGTGGTCGAGCTTGGAGATCCAGGGCTTGAAATAAGGGGGATCTGGGACCTGCCAGCGGTGGGGGGTCTGGGGTCCAGTGCTGCGTGAGGACAGGAGCTGAGGGAGCTGGGTATTTAGATCCGGGGAATGGGCTCCCACAGTTGGGGTGGCAGGGCCCATTAGCTGGGTTGTGGGGGGGTCCAGTGGTTAAGACATGGGGGTCCAGGACCCAGTGTGTGGGTCAGGGGAACGTGGGATCCAGAAGGGGGACCCAGTAGATGAGCTGGAGCTTGCAGGGCTGTCTCCAGGGGCTGGGGTGTGGGGGGTGCCGTGATCGTGGAGGGGGCTCTGTGTCCCTCACCTGGACGTGACCCCCAGGGCCTGCTTCATATTCTCGTAGACCACATAGGAGATGCTCACAGCCGGGATAACCTTCATGAAGTTGGGGGCGATGCCCCGGTAGAGACCCCGCATGCCCTCCTGGGACAGGATGTGGCGGAGCAGACCCAGCATGGAGAGCTGGGGGCCGCCCTCGATGGAGGCTGGGAGGGGTTGGGGAGGCCAGGTAAGGCCAGAGGCCCCCCTCTCACTTCCCCCTCCTGCCCCCAGGGGCTGGGCCAGGTGGCCATCGCAGCCGAGGGAGGAGGGTTAGACAAACAGTGGGACCTCCCACTCAGCCAGGATGTCTACCAGCCTTGGACTGGTTCACCTGTTCTCCCCCAGTCTTGACGATGAATACAAACAGAACAGGCATGTGTGTGTGTGTGTGTGTGTGTGTGTGCGCACAGGAATGTCCTCTCTCCTGGGACTCACTCCCTTCCTTTCCCCCCAGCTACCTCTCTCTCACCCTTCCAACCTCCATTGGGAAGCCTCCTCTGCAGGGGAGCTGTCCTTGGGGCCCCAGTCTTAGTCTGGCGCTTCCTTCCCCCCATGAGTCACCCCTAAATCCGTGCTTCATCGTGGAATGTTTATTCGGCACCTTTCTCCCTCCCTGGCCTGGGAACTCTCAGAGGGGGGACCGTCTTACCCACTCATACGCCCCCAGTGCAAATCACAAAACACAGACGCTAAAATTCCCAAGGAAATCCTCAAAACAAGATTCAAGGACGGGGGCGGAGGGTGGGTGGTGGGAGGAAGAACTCATTAAAAAAAAAATGCAGAGGAAAACAATAAAACAGTAACCAGCCTGGCCCTGCGTCTCCTTAACCTGATCCTTGCCTTCCCCGCTATAACCCAGCCCTGCAAATTAGAGCACAAGTTACCAGCCTGCAAAGCTGCCTCCAGGCTAATTGCTAGGGCGCTTTTTTAGTGAATGATACATCTGGCCCCCTACTTCCTGTCAAGGGCACCCACCCCAATGTCACACATGGGCAAATAGCCCCCCACAAAGGTAGGGACTTTAGACAAGGTCATCCAGATGGTGGAAGACCCCAGCCCAGCCTACCCAGGAGGAAGGGCTGGGGGTAGGGAGGTGGGACCCAAGTCCCTGCCCCATCCCCCTGCCCCGCCTCACCTTGGGCCTGCATGCGGGTCCGGACCAGGGCCAGGGGGTAGCTGGCTATCTGGCCACAGGTGCTGGAGATGGTGCCGCAGGCCAGGAGCACAAGGATGCCCGGATCGGCTGAGTCGTGGCTATACTGCTGGAGCCACCGGTTCTTCAGGGTCTGGCAGGGGTGAAGAAGGGAGTAGGGAGGTTGGAGATGGGTGACCCCAGGACCCTGACCTCAGAGACCCCACTTGCTGGCTTCTTTATCCCTCGATGGCTGGTTAACTAGCTGAGCACTTGTACCTCCTAAGGGCCACACAGTTACTTGACCTATGTCCCATCACTGAGTCCTCACCTTGACCCTCTATGATGTGTGGACTGATGGCCCTCTGACCATCCAGGTCCTAGTCCCTGGAACCCACATGGCAAACAGTCCCTATGGTCCCTCACATGGCAAAAGGGACTTTTCAGAGAGGACTGAATTAAGGACCTTGAGATGGGAAATGATCCAAGAACGTCCAGGTGGGTCCAACGTCATCACAAGTCACAGTCAGAGAAGGAGATGCGATTATGGAAGCAGAGGTCAGATAGCGAGAGAGATTAGAAGATGCTATGCTGCCGGCTTTGAGGATGGAGAAAGGGCCCATGAGCCAGGGTGCAGGCAGCAGCTAGAAAGTGGAAAATGTAAGGAAACATATTCTCTCTCAGGGTCACCAGAAGGAGCCAGCCGTGCCCACACCTTGATTTTAGGCCACTGAGACCACGTTGACTTCTGACTTTTATGAGACAATACATTTACACTGTTTTAAACCACTAAGTTTGTGGTCATTTGTTACAGCAGCTGTATGAAACTAATACACTCTCTGAGGTGGGCACCCTGCCCCTATCCCTTTACCATTTCGCCTCAAATCTGCTGACTTCCAACCACCAGCATCCATGGTTCTGCATGAAGACTTTCTCTGGACCCAGGTGAGGCTGCTCTGAGCACTGAGTGTGGGTAGGAAGGACAAGCAAGAATCGGCACCCTGCAGAAGCAACCTTCAGGCGATGACTGACTTGGTTTACCAATACCCCAGTTCCCTCTCTGGTGGGGCACATTCTACACTGCCTCCCCGAGGTGCCCCTCACGATTACGCTCCGCCTGCCCTCTGTATCCATCACTTGCTTGATAACACACTGTTGTAGGTTCAACTGCAACCCCCCCCACCAAAAGGTATCTTGGAGTCCCAACACCCAGGACCCCATATTGTGACCTTATTTAAACAGGGTCTTTGAAGATACAATCAGTTAAGAAGTGATCATACTGGAATAGGGCGGGCTCTATTCCAGTCTGATTGGCATCCTTATAAGAAGAGAAGAGAAACAGAGGCCGAGGTACACCAAGACAGCCGCACTGTGAGAGAGGGCAGAGGGTGGAGTGACAGGTCTACAAGTCAAGGAATGCCCGAGGTTGCCAGGACCCACCGGAAACCAGAAGAGGCCAGGAAGGATTCTCCTCTGCAGGTTTCAGGGGGAGCATGGTCCTGCTGACACCTTGGTTTCAGTCTGGCTTCAGAACTGTGACAATAAATTGTCTGCGGTTTTAAGCCACTCGGTTGGGGCTCTTCGTCAGGGCAGTCCTAGGAAATGAGCGCACGCTCACTTTTCTGTTTGCCTTTCTTCCTCGCCTTACTACTCCCCCTCGAGCCTGCCTGCTTCTGGAAGAACTCTAAGACAAGGACTATTGCTTCCATTTGACTGATGAGAAACTGAGGCCCCAGGTACTAATGCCCAAAGCCACAGAATGAGGGCGAGAACCGACCTTCAGAGACATACCCGAGTCAAGGACTGCGCACTTAGTCTTTAGGGAAGCCCATCCCTTCTGAAGCTTCTGCAGGGTCTTTGGAAAGGCAGGACCGTCGTTTTTTATTTTGGGAGGAGAGGGGCTCCTACGTTTCATTTATATGTTAATTCCAACCCATGGTAATGGCTGCCCGGAACTGTATTCAGAGGGACTTAGGGCTGGGATACATTAGCGGTGTCCGGCCTGGGTACGAACCGTGCAAAGGAGAACCAAGTGTTTACTATTATTACCTTTGCAATTGTAACGATTTTCTTTTGGGGCTGGAAGAGCATTTGCCAAACAGGTGTTGAATGCATTTTTAAGAGCTGTTCTGTTAACATGCTGATGACTGGATAAATATGGCCGACACTGGGCTAAAAGCTTTTCAACACTTTTCTGCAGGACTTCTCAGAGCCTTCAGGAACTAACCTAGAATTTGAAACTACTGAGACCTTCACACTCCTTTTTTTGGTGAGGAATGGATTAAACAAGATGCATCTCGTTCACGACCCTCCATGGCTTCCTACTGCCCTTAGGATGATCTCAAACCCCTTGTTACTGAGCCCTCGCTGACTCTTCCATTCCCTGCAGCCACTCAAGATTTCCACTCCCCCAAAAGGCCGAATTCAGTCCTGCTTCCAGGCCTTTGCACTCGCCATGCCCCTGGCCTTGTTCACCCTCCTCCTGATACGTGCTCAACTCATTGCTCCCATGTCACCTCTCAGAGGCGTGCCCAGACCCTCCTGCCCACTGACATTTTCAATTGCACATCCTGTTTTATTATCTTCTGAGAACTTATCAGGATCTGAAACCACTTATTTGCTGGTTGGCTGACTTCCCTATTCACTGGAGTGGGCGCCCCGGGACAGCACAGGCGGATGCTTATAAATAGCTCCTAAGTGAGCAAGGGACCGGGAGAATGAATGAATGAATGAATGAATGAACGAATGAACGTGTCTCATCTGACAGCACAGATGGGGGTGCTGGGAAGGGCAGGCGTGACGGCAGGTAAGTCTTGTAGATCAGGACCAGTGATGTCATTTGCAAAATGAAAGCACGTGAGGTCCCTTGTTCCCAGGGTATTAGGAATTTCAAGACGGTGACAGCAGAGCATTAGACCAAGTGAGGGACTTCCCTGAGTGTGGGCGACTGCACAGGCCGCCTGCCTCTGAAGTTGGCCCTGCCCTGGATACAAGAGCTTTACGGGAGGCCTGGGGATATCTGGCGCTGTACTAATTGGGAGAACCTCATGACCACCGGGAAAAGGTGAAAACAAAGAGCAAAAACTCCCCGCTCCTGCCTTGTTCGATCAAGGTCCTAAGATGCCGGTCACAGGGAGTGCTTTCAAGGCGACGACAGACAGAGAAGTGGGCAGGCTCTGAGGAAAACATCGGCCTGGAGAGAGTCTGGGGCCAATACAGGGCGTGGGGAAGATGGGCATCTTAGAAAATGACAGTTTCCCCGGCTCCCGTTATTTTGTGAGCTCGAGCAGTCGGTCCCTGACTTTCATGCGTCCTGAGACCTAGGAAGGATGACTTATAGATAGAAGGTTCTCGGAACTGGGAGGTGGAAGGGTGGGAGAGTCCAATGCCAAAAGGGGCCCCTGGGCATCTCCACCCAGCACTGTGTCCCCTGGCTATTCAGGTCAACCGAGTCAGCCTCGTGGGAAGACCCCAGAGGGGAGAAGAAAAGAAGGAGGGGCAGGGTGCCCACAGACCTCGTACACAGCCAGGTCGATGCCCGCATAGGGAATGATGCCCAGCACGTTAGGCAGGTAGCCGCGGTAGAAGGCACGGGGTCCTTCCCGCAGCAGGATCTGCCGCGCACAGTCTAGCAGCCCCTTGTACTGGCCCGTCTGGCGAAGGGTCAGCCGTGTCTTCAGCACCTGCAGAGAACCCAGTTATCCCTGGAAAAGCTGCCTCCACAATCACTGTGGCCAGGAATGAAGACACCTAGAAATAGCCTCTCCTAGAAGGGGATACCCTGAGAATAATTGGATTTAACAAACCACTTACCCTACAATCTTCTGCTCCCCCCAAATCTCTGAACCTAGAAATGGTTACACCTCTCAGAGCTGCATGTGGCAGCCACTGCTGTCTCCTAATACCTTATTCCTTTCTCCCCTTAGTAATAGAAACTGTAATTTTCAGCAACTATACAGCCACTAGAATAAAGACTGCATTTTTTATTTTTCCTAGGTGTATGGCCATATGACTATGTCCTAGTCAATGAAATAGAAGGAGAAGAGTATGTATGACTCTCAGAAATCACCCTTAAAGGCAGGGAGGTGTTCCTTCCTTTGTCTGTTATTCCTTCTTATCTGGAATGTGGGTGTAATGACTGGAGCACAAGCAGCTATTTTGGTCCACAAAGTAGGTGCTAAATGCTGAGGTGGTGGAACAATGAGATAGAGGGAGGAACCTGGGTTTCTAAAACTTTGAAACCACTGAACCTGCCCTGAACTGCTCACCTCCAGACTTCATTTATGTGGCTTGAGTTTTCCCATCACTCACAATCCTAACCAATACACTGCACGACCTGAAACCAGAAGTAATTTCTCTGAAAACAGTTTAACCTAGAAATGATTTTCCTGGGAACAAGCATCCTGGAAATCAATACCCTTAGAAGAGGCATATCTGTAAATGGCCCCCCAAACAACTGTAATGAATGCTACCTTCCCCAGAAGTCCCATCACAAATTGTGACACCCAGACAGGTTACACATGAGACAATATTGCTCTAGCGAGCCACGGTCTGCATCACGGAGAGGCAGAGCTGTGACCTCAATGCTTAGCACACCCCGGAGTGAACTGGTGAGTGTAGGGCTCCCCACCCTGTGACGGGACCCTCTCCTTCTCACCTCCATGGGGTAGATGATGGTTTGGGCCGTGGCACCAGCGAGTGAGCCGGCCACAAAGCGCTCCTGTACGTGCAGCGTCTCCTGCTGCCCCCGGATGGCCCGTTTGATCTGAAGGGAGACCCAGACATGGGCAGGGCCTTAAGGGCAGAGCCTTCCATGCACCCGGGCCTCCTCTCCACTGTCCTCCCATTGCGGGTATCACACAGAGGAGAAGACGCCCACGGCTGGGGTGCTGCAGGCATGCCCCCACCCCCAAGCCAGTCCAGCCTCCCCACACCTGCCCCCACCTGCTCATAGGCCATGAACTTGATCGCTGACTCAGGGGCGATCTTGAGCACATTAATCCCATTGCCACGCCACAGGGCGCGCATGCCTCCCTCTCGGATCATGCTCCGTAGGCCCCCTAGGATGTTCAACCGGTTGGTCTTGGAGGCGTGGACCTAGGTTAGGGAGATGAGATGGCTTTGGGGGAGCTGTCGGGGGCCCAGGCCTGGGAGAGGTGGCGGGCCTCTCGAGGGCCCCTCACCTGCATGAAGACCTTGAGGCGGTCCAGAGGGGCTGTGCCTGTACGTGACACAGCGCCGGCCGCCGCGCCCGCCACCAGCTGCCTCCACCACATGCCAGTCAGCTTCTCCCGCTCCGAGAACTCATCTGGAACAGTCAGGCACTCGCCGATGTCCAAGACCTGAGGATGCAGGGGCTGGGGTGTCATGCCATGGTGGGGGTGGGAGACATGACTCAACCCTACAAGGGGTGTCTTCCCCCTGAATCCCAGGACCCCCAGAGAGCTCGCCAATGCACTGGGGAGCCCAGAAGATTCCTTTACCAGATCCCTACTAGATCTCACCAAACATCCGACCTGACAGGCTCCCATGTAGGACCCCAGCATCCCTCTGGGACACCTCCACCAAATCCCACCAAAGGGCCGTACCCGAGCCTCAACCACATGAAGATCCCCCCCAAGCCAATCTGAACGTTTTCCCACATAAGGGTTCCAAAAGACCCATCTGGGCCACACGAGCTCCTACCAGGGGGCTCCCACATAAACCGGCAGATCTTACACAGGGCCTTACCACATCCCACTGCCCCCAGGGATCACCCCTTCCCTAGAGTCCACCTACAGACGTCCCAGTCACGCTCATCAGGATCACCCAGTGTGGAAACCTCTAGATCTCTCAAGAGGATCTCAGCAGGTCCCACAGGGGGATCTCCCTCCAGATGCCATCACATCCTACCAGAAGCACTGCTCAGAAATTTCCACCCCAAAACTGGTGATCTAGAGCACCCCCACCCACCCCAGCTTCCAGAGGGTCCCACTGGACCCTCTGAAGACTGCCTTTCTCACGCATCTTAGCAGCAGCAGAATTTACTGGGGTGAATAGGAACCAGCCTCATGGGCAGAGGGTGGGAGGCCACCTGCCCAGTCTGGTGAGTTCTTTCTTCCCTGTGGTCCCAGCCCCCACTGCCTGCCCCCAGAAGCCCCACAATCAGGTTTGAAGGGCTCCAATCAAACAGCAGAGGCCTCCCCAGATGGGGCCCTGGTCCCCTGGCCCCCAAATGAAGGAAGAGAGGAGCAGAGTCTCACCCCTCAGTTGCCCAGCAGCCCCTCCTGCGAGGGAGTCCTGACTCAGCCCCTCCATGCCCTGGGAAAACCAGGGCAAGGTCCCCAGGGGGGGAAAGGGCCTGGCCACCAGGCTGGGAGAGCCACCCCCACCTCACCGTGGAATGTTTCCAGAAATGGAGGACGTCCTCCATGTTCTCCAGCGAATGCAACAGGAAGTGGTCACGCCATTCCTGCCAGTCGATGGTCATGGTGCCATCACGGTCCATGCTGGAGGGGACAGGGTGGGGACAGAATCAGTGCCTGGGGCTGGAGGTGGGTTAGAGGGAGGTCCTGATCCTCTGTCCTGAGGGCTTGTTATTGTACAGAGGAGAAAACTGAAGCTCAGAGATACGAAGCAACAGGCCCAAGATCTGCCTGACTCCAAAGCCTGATTTCTCAGCTCCACCTGTCCTGGGACTGGGTCTGGGACCCAGAAGCTCAAGATGGCTGAGGGATCATGGGACCCCCAGCTACCCACCTGTGTAGAATTTTCTCTGCCTGCTCCAGTGAGATGGAAATGCCCAGAGCTCGGAAACTCTGCTGAATCTCCGAGGCGTCGATATGACCTGTGGAGGGGGTCCAAGGTAGAAAAGGGTATGTTGTGGCAGGGGGAGCCCAGGGGAGCCCAGGAGCTGAGGAGCAGGTCAGCTTGGAATGAGGCTAGCCTAGCAAGCCCAGGGCATCCGGGAGCCCAGGATGAGGTTTGTGGCAGGCTTGGGGGGAGGTCCCTGACCCGCTAAGATCAGAGAAGTAGACTGGACAAACTTAGGGGCATCCTCGTTCCACGAATGAAATGAATCCAGGGTAACTGAGGTCCCAATATTGGCGACCCAGAAGAAGTCATGGGGCATCTCTGTCTCCTAGGGAATCTAGCAACAACATAGGGGATCTTTTTCCTACAGAAAAATAAGGGTAATGATGGGGGGCGGGGGCCAACCCCAGAAGAGAAAGGAGGCGGGATGGGCTGACTGGGCCCCAAACCACCTAGTTGGGGGTGAGGAGAACTCCCCAAATAGCCTGTGAGTCATCAGGGAGAAGCAGCCCTGCCCCTCCTCCTGCTGCTGTCAGTTTCGACCCCATGCAGGTCGCCAGGGCCCCCACGGCCCGTGCCTAAGCCTCACCATCCTGGTTCCGGTCCAGACTGTGGAAGAGCAGCAGCAAGCGCTGCTCTCGCTCCTGCAGGTAGCGGGTGAATTCCTCCAGATCCAGTCCACCATCTGGGTCAGCGTCACCCTCAGGGGAGAGGCCCTGGCAGAGAGGAAGCGAACAGGGGGGCTCCAGGAGGCTGCTCCCCGAGATATCTGCAGGGGGCCCCACAAGCTGATGCTCTGGGAGCCCAGGGCCCAGAGGGTGGCGGCAGGGGCTGTCACCTCTCTCTCCATCAGCTCACTTCTTGGCCAGAGGCCCCAGGCCACAGTATGGCTGTGAGGTGCAGAGCAGCGGTCCAGTTTCCCTGGTGAGCAAACTGAGGCTCTCCAAGGTCAAGGAACTTGTTCAAGGTCACAAAGCTGGGAAGTGGGGGGGGTAGTCTCGGGCTCTTGTCTCAGAAAGCCTGCGCCCCCAGCTGTCTCATTAAAAAGCTGCCCACATGGCAGTTTCAGGAGCTCCCCTTAGAGATAGCTCTGGGCAATGCGGGACAATGACAGAGCCAAGCTGATCAGCCCGGGGGGCTTTTCTTTTCCCATCTGGCAAGTGGCAGCTTGAACTGGAGGGTTTAGGATTGGGTGGAGACACTCTATCGGCATCTAGGGCTACAGGTGTGGTGGACACCCGCACAGACCTGGGGACAAGTTCCTGCTTCGATGGGTGCACCCCCAGCTGAGGATGGCCTCAGACAGGATTCGGTCCCTGGCTGTGGGCCTGGGGCACTGAGCCAGGCCAGGGAAAGGCAGGCAGCGGAATGTAAACATAGAGGCTGGGGCAGCTGTCTGGGCGGGGTGGGGGTGGGGGGGCACTGGGTGCCGGGAAGAGGGTGGAAGGTTGTTTCTTCTGGGGGTAGGAGCAGAATATGTCTTGAGCTGGGCAAAGAGTTCAGAGGAGGGTGCGTGGAGAGCAGTGGGCAGAGAAGTGGGCTGCTCCGTGCCCTGGCAGACATCCGCTCCCCCACCCTGTGGGGGTTTTTGGTGAGGGGCGTGGGGACCGGGTGTGGGCAGCAGAACTGCAGGCCTGGGGCCTCGTTGGTCCTGTCTTGAGCGCATCCGTTAGGCGCAGACCCGGATGGGCAGGGGGAAGGGGACAGAGCCGCCCAGGCTGGACACAGGTGCTGGAGCCCAGCTACAGGCAGTCAGTCGGTCCCGAGGCTCCCGGCGCTCCATTCAGGGGCTCGGGTTACCGGCGATGGCTGGGCCCGAGCGCCGCGCTCCAGGCGGGGGTACCTGTTGGGCGCTGCGGTCCGGGTCGCTCCCGCCCAGCCGGGCCAGTCCCTGTCGCAACTCGTGCACGTCCACGCGGCCATCCTTGTTACTGTCCAGCTCCTCGAAGAGGCGACCCCAGCGCTGCCGCCGCTCCGCGTCGCCCGGGCCCCCCCGCATGGCGTTCGCCCGGGGGGGGGAGGGGAGGCCCGGGAGCGGCGGCCTTAGCGGGGGCTTCGCAGCTCCCCCTCCCCCCCGGGGCCCCGCAGGGCCAGCTCCGCGGCCACGGCCGCCGCAGGCTCTGCGCTGTCGGTCTGGCTCCCGCACTGGCAGGAGGTGGTAACTGCTCGCCGTCGCCGCCCGCGCCAAAACTTGCGTTTCCTCTCCCGAGGAGGGGGCTGGGGGCGGAGCTGGTGGAGGCGGGCTGGGGAGAATGTCAGGGATGCCCTGGTATTGCACATCCTAGGGAGCACCTGGGTTCATTCTGGGAGGAGGGGCTAGAGAGATCAATGGTCTCAGTACTGGTTCCAGAGTTCTGCCTCTGAGTGCCTCAGTTTACCCTCCGCCCGAGGGGGGGAAGTAGGGAGATGTCAGGGACTGGGTTTCGTAATCCCTTTTTCTCTTGACCTCCCTCTCCTAATAATCCTCTTCAGGAATTCAAGGTCTCATTTTTCCCAGACATCCTCAAGAACAAACCCTGCTCCAGCTAGCCCTCCATCTGCCCTCCCGCTCATGTCACCTTCCCTCCTCGGTCAGACAAACAGAAGATGAAGACACAGGGCTCTCACTCACAGGGCCTACATCCCGCCCGCGCGCCTCCTTTCTCGGCCCCACTCAGACTGGGAAACGGAAGATCGATACACTGCGCGGCGCGGCCGCAAAGTTGGTTTCCTATTGGCCAGGGCTGCCTGAGCTGCGCCCGCCCGTCCCGCCTCGCCCACCCAGCCTGGGCGGGGCCTGCCCGCAGACCCCATCCCTCCCCCGCGGCAGCCTTAGGTCCCGTGGCCACAGGCTCGCCAGGCAGTCTTAAAGGGGCCGCGGCCATGCAGTGCTGACCACGGACTCCAGACTGGCCTGAGAACCTCCGTGTCTCAGACTGGGCTGGGGATGACGACCCGGTAGCCGTGCTCCGGAGGCGAGCTCCAGCCCATCGCGCTCGCTGCACCTGCCAAATGGCCCTCCCCACTAGTTTCGGGTGCTGTTTCTCGATTCACCATTAGGGGGAGGGACGCCCACATCACTTGACAGCGATTAATAACAATAGCTAACATTGATTTAGTGCGTAGTACATGCCAAATCTTTTACTCACCTCTGGCGTCGTCCTCGCCAAAACCCTGTAAAGTAGGTGGGACTGGCTTTCCCACTTTGCAGATGAGGATGTTAAGCCGCTCTCCCCAAACTACATGCCCAATAAGAGTCCCGGACGGGGGTGGGGGTGGAGGGGCGTCTTATCCATTATCCAAGGATACAGCCTTAAGAGCACATTTGGTTCCCACTCAGCTTCTGCCTAGACAGGTGGGTTTTAACAGGTGCGCATCCCAAAACCAACGAGCTTTTTACAGAGGGTTTCCTCACAGGTGTTTCCATTTACAGGTGGTCCTTGCAGGTGCCCTACAACATGGGGGATACAGATATTTTCCCATGGAGATTCCCCAGACAGGTGTTTCCTCTCAGATACATCCTTGACAGGTGGCTCCAATGCACATGAGCCTCTGTCTTGCTTACCCACTCCCAGAGGTACTCCAGTGCGAGTGGCCACATGCAAATGTTTTCAGATATTTCTCTCATTTGAGCTCAGTTATATGCAGACCTTCATCCAAGACTATTTCCTTCTCAAGTTATGTGTCTTCATAGAAATCCACCCAGGAATGCGTTATACAGCCTGCGTCTCTTTTACTCCTCCCCGCTGAGTGTTCCAGTAAGTATACATCCATACGGATGTGTTCCAATATAACTGGGTCCCATACAGGTGCCCTTAAATGTAGGTGTGTCTCACACAGGTATTTCCAATACATTTCCACACAGGAATTCTTCGTACAAGTGTTGTTCCTTTCACAAGTGAGCTGTGCAGATGCTTTTCCAAAACAGATATACTCTATACCAGAGCGCCTCACTCAGGTGTTTGTTATAATGCAGGTGTGTTCTATACAGCTGTTTTCCACACAGGTATGCTTCCATTCAGCTATACTCCAGACAGATGTGATTCAATGCATAGGTGCTCTTCTTACACATCCACGCAGATGTCTTCTCTACAGGTTCGCTCCCATGCAGGTGTGGACTACACAGGTGCTTTTTCATTAGAGGCTCACCATCTGGGTCAGCCCCAGGCAGGAATGCCTCATACACCGGCGTCTCTCTATCCCGTGTCTCCACCCGGGTGCGATCCTTGCAGACTCGTCCGCAATAGAGGTGGGAGGTCCCTCTTACACCTGCGCGATCCAGCCCCTTTTCATGCCCTCCCATTACAGGATTGGGTTCCCGTTACAGGTGCGCCCTCAGTGCGGCCCCGTCCTCCCTTGGCTCCGCCCTCTCATCTAGGCTCAGGTGCACAAGCCGGAAGTGCCCTTCCCTCCCAGGTGAGTGACTAAACTTTCCGGGTCACGTGAGCGGGCGGGGCTGGAGTCCGACTGAGCGACCGACCCACCGACCGACCGACGCTCCGAGGGTTCGAGCGAGGGACCCGGCCCGCGAACCTGAGCGAGGTCGAAGGCCTCCGGGTGAGGTAGGGAGGCAGGTCGGCGACCCCTTCCCCTCCCCTTCTCCTCCCCTTCCTTTCTCCTCCCCTTCTCCAGTCCTGGAACGCGCCGGCCCCAGTTAATCTTTAATCTCTGACCTCCGGCGGCGGGGGCGGGGCGGGACTCCGGGGTGCCCCGCGCCGGCTGCCCCTCCCCTGGGCCTGCGCCCGGGTCCTGCCCTTCCCGCACGCCCAGGCCTTTCTCCTTCTCCAGCCCCCAGGTGCCTGGTTGCAGGTACCCCCCTCGCCCGAGATGCGGTAGGAACGCAGCACTCGAGAAGCCCGGGCCCTGGTGCCACCAGCCCGTCGCCTGTTCCCAATGGCGAGCCCGGGGCTGGGGCCGCTGCTAGCACTGGGCCTGCCACTGCTGCCGGTCCGCTGGGGCCGGGCCTGGGGGCAAAGTAGGTACCAGCGAGGGGGCGTTGGGTACCTGGGACACTGAGAGATCGAGAACTGGGGAGCGGGCAGAGAGTGCCTTGGGGGAAGTCTACAGGGTCACGGCTGGGGAGGGTTAGGAATTCGAAGTCCTTCCCTGGAGGGTGGGAGGAGGCCTGAACCTGACTCTCAGTGTGTTTGGAGTGTTTTGGGCGGACTGGGAGCTAGGAGGAGGCTTGCCTGGCGCTCTGAGCTGGGCTTGACCAGCCTGGCCATAGGTGTGGACCCTGCTTACAGTCCCATTCCAGTGTCGGGAGCCTGGGGGGAGGTGTGAGTCAGGCACTGCCTGGAAAGGCAGGATCCGCCCAGACCCTTAACGGCGCGCCGCTCGGGGAGTCTGAGGGCTGGGCTTCTGGGTACCCATCCATTATAATAGCCCCCAACAGAGCACAAAATGCAAACCGGGCTCCTCTGGGTTGGGGATGGCCCCAGCATACAGGACACCTACAGCGACTGCAGGAATGAAAGACTCAGAGGGCAGAGTTCTAACCGGGGGGCAGAGAGGTGCCAGGGCAGGTGCAGCTGCACCCAGATGGGAGGGGCCGGTGGAGATTCATTTCTCCTCTACCCCCTCCCCACAGCACCAGACCCCACTGTAAATGGCAACCACACCATTACGACCCCTGGCCCTGGCTCCTACTCCAGTGGGGCCCTGGTGAGTTGGAGGTATATGTGGGAGGATTACGGTAGGGATGTTACTCAGGAGGCCCACGTGTAGCAGGAGAGGCCCAGACTCCCAGACAGGGCAGGTGCTTGGGAGCGGGAGCCTCAGACATGGCAGGTGAGGGGAGCCTGGGAGGCCCAGGTGTCAGATAGGGATCAGGAATCCTGGGTGGCGGAGCCACAGCGCCGGAAGTGGTGGGGGTGGGGTGGGGCTAGGGTCAGGAGCTTCATATGCTTCCCAGGTGGGGATGGACAGGGCCCCCACGTTCAGGCGGGTCACACCTGTCCCCTCTCCTGCAGTCTCAAGAGGCCATCACCGCTATCATTGTGGTCTTCTCCCTCCTGGCAGCCCTGCTCCTGGCTGTGGGGCTGGCCCTGCTGGTGCGGAAGCTGCGGGAGAAACGGCAGACAGAGGGCACCTACCGGCCCAGCAGTGAGGAGCAGGTGGGTGCCCGTGCACCACCGCCCCCCAACCTCAAGCTGCCGCCGGAGGAGCGGCTCATCTGAACAGTGGGGCCCACTGCAGCCGCCGCTGCCCAGGACTGCCCCGCACCTCACATGCAGTAGCTGCCAGCGAGACACCAGCCTCTGATGGCTCAGGAGACCTGGGGGCTGAGGGGCACCTGCCGGGTGGGCTCTGAAGCACGTGCCTCTGCCTCACTCCACCTGCAGTTGGGGGTGCCAGGGCTGGGGGTCCCCGCTTGCTGCACCATCTTCACTTGGCCAGCTGTCCTGCCCTGCCACATGGGCCAAACAATCCTCCTTTCCTTTCCTTTCAGTTCTCCCACGCAGCTGAGGCCCGGGCCCCCCAGGACCCAAAGGAGACGGTGCGGGGCTGCCTGCCCATCTAGGTCCCCTTCCTCTCTCCATCTCCTGTCATTGCTGTGTGACCTTGGGGGAAGGTGGAGCCCTCTCTGGGCAATCAAACCCACACAGTGCTTACAAATATAAGGGAAGATGGTGCTTTAAGAACTCTGTCCCTGAGGCAAGGAAGGTGGGGCTGCTCACTTTATATGTGTGTATATATATACAGATATATACACACACAGCACACATATAAAGTTGGTGGTGAGATATAAAAAAACCTTATTTGGAGCTGGGGGGGAGCAGGAATTGGCTTGGATGGAGGATATAAGTCAGGGCTCATAGGCTATTGAGAGATGAATTGTAAGGTTGCAAGGATCCTAGGGGCTGGGAGGGCTTCCAGGAAGGAAGGAGTTTTTAGCGGCACTTAGAAGCCAGGAGGAAGGTACTGGAAGGGATGGGTTTCTGAGCAGAGAGAGGGCCTCCAGATAAACTCACGGGGAAAACCAACTGTGGGCTTTTGTGGCTTTATTGAGGGACTGGGGTCTCATCCAGATCCCCAATACTTAACCTTCAAAACACTTCTTAAGCTCAGCAACTCCAGGCCGGCTCCTGACCTGGGGTTCCTGCCCAGTGCTGGCCAGCGAGGCAGGAGATCTGAGGGCTCCCAGTTCCTCGGGCTGCAGGTGAGCGTGCTCTGCTGGCAGGGCCTTGGAAGGCTGGGATCCGAGGTTCTCTGGGGAACCAGGATTCAAGCAACAATCAAGAGGTTGGGATGTCTGGGTGATGTGCAAGTTGGGCTTTGTGGGCACCAGAAGTTGGGGGCTTTCTGGAGGGCTGGGCACTGTGGAGAGCGGGGGGCAGGGGCTGTCCTGGGCTCCTGGGTTCTTGGCTGCCTTGTGGGGAGGAGAGGGATGTAGGCTTAGAGACTGGAGCTCTGTATGAGGGGACGCAGTGTCCCCATGGCTGCCGAGGTCTGCAGAGGCTGCTGAAGGCTGGGATGGAAAAACGATTTCTTGGCTAGCCTCCAAGGATGGCTGGGAAGTGGGGTCCTCTAAGGAGGTCATGGCATCCGAAGGCTGGGGTGTTTGCAGAGATGGCAGGCTGCCAGGCAGGGACAGGGAGTGGGGCTGTTCTTCATCATCTGGTTGCCACCTGGGTCTTCCGGGTATGTTAGGCTGGGCAGGGGTGGGGAGAGGGCACATTGCTGGCCTTTAGATGCTGCAGGGGAGGGCAAGTTGGATGGGCAGATGGGGAGGACTGGGTCCCCTCACCAGGCTGAAGCAGCTGTCGGGGTCCCCTCTGTGGCAGCAGTTGAAGCTCTGGCTGGGCCGCAGGCTGCCTATCCTCACGGCTCCTGTGCTCAGACTGTCGAGAATCTCACCCAGCAGATCCAGTTCTTCTCCAGACCCCAGGAAGCTGCTATCCAAAGCTTCCTCTGCCCACAGGTCCGGGGTGTCGTCAGGGCTTGGAGAGGGTGTCCTGAGTGATGGTGACAGCCTCAGATATCTGCCCCAAGGCCCCCAGCCCTGGTTCCTCTGCTCTGGAGGGTCTGGAGTTTGGGGGCTAACCTCCCCATCAGTCCTGGCCTTGCACTTCCTACGTTGCCCCCTCCCCAGCCTTCGAGCCTTACCCCTTTCCCAGGGACTCAGGTCTCTCCCCCAGCCGGGTTCTGCTGGGGCGGACGGGCCGGTTCTGCAAAGGACAGTTTTGGGGTGTGGGGTGGGGCTCAGGAGCTGTAGCATTGGGCTTTCTGGAGGAGGGTAGGTGTGACGTGGGCACCAGATATTGGAGTAGGTGAGGAGGAAGGGAGATTTATGGATGGGTGGGGGGAGACTGATTAACCAGCACGGTGGTGGGGCGGGGGGGACATTCTTACCTGTCCGAAGTGCTGGGTGATAGGCAGCCGCTGCTGCAGGCAATCTGAGCGGCTAGTAAGGGTTGGGGCCCTCAGGGAGCCCCCCCTGTGCAGGCCAGAGTCCCCATCCTAGGAAGAGTGTGGGTGAGCCAGGAGCCCCACGCCTGCTGCCCCCTGGCCATTGGCCATTGGCCTTACCTTGTACATCAGAAAGCTCTGCACACCCTTCAAGCCACTCTTGGCCTACAGATGAGCCGATAAAGAATCAGACTGGAGAGAATGGACCCTGGGCATTTGAGAACTCAGCCCTTCATCCCCTAAGACAACTTCGTCTTGGCCATTGGTGTGTTTGTGCCTCGCAAATATATTTACAATTCCCCATGTACCACCTAAGAAGGCAATACAAACTCTCACCCTCTAATATAAAAGAATATTCCCAGAACAAAAGCCCTGAATGAAATGGGGAGTGTCAGAAACAGATCACAGAAATGTGTCTGTTCAAAAGCCGAGAAGAATGAAATCCAGTGGACCATTCAGAGCTGCAGAAATTGGCCTAGGAAATGTTTGGACAATGGAGAAGAAAAGGGACACAAACCAGGGTGGTAACTGCCTGAGAAGGGCTAAAGAGGTTTGCTAGCGAATCTTGGTTGTCAATTTTAAATAGAAAAAAAAAAAGCAAGGATCCTAACAAAAATAATTATGGTAAATGGAGAATAAAATTGGGAAGATGTGTTAGTGGTGAAACTGCCGGTTTGGTTCTGATAAAAATGTGGTATTAAGGTGTGTGGTCTCAGGGAGGCATGGAAATGTCCTCTGTCCCCTTGCCTTCATCCCCCTGGTAAGTGGCCTGTGTTGAGAAGCCTCACCGAGCGGTACATGTTTCTGACGGCTGGTTGGGTCTTGGCTTTGACCGAATGCAGGAGGGCACCACCGCCTTTCTGGGGGGGAGAGAATGCAATGGAAGGAGGCTTGGGCATCTGGGGTGTCCCCAGACCTCACCTCCGCACCCTGGCTCTGTGATGCTGGACAGGCCCCTTTCCCTCTCTGAGTCTGGATTCCTATTTATAAATAAGCATAATGATGATCTACCTGGGGACTGTGGTGGGGCTAAGCCAAACCAATAATGAACATTAAACAAGTGTTTGGTGTCCTTACCTTTAGGTTGTCTGCCCAAAGCTGGTAGGAACGAAGGGTGCCTAGGTAAGGAGAGGTAGTCACGGCAGGCTCAGGCTGGGGTGCTGGGAGTGGAGGGCTCCCGGGCTAGACGCAGGGCTCACCTGAGGATGCCCCGCTGCAGGTGATCGCCTGCTCAAAGAGATCTGAGAAGCCCTCTCCTGTGTTAAGCTTCTCTAGTCGGCCTTCGATGAACTGGGGTGGGGGGTGGGGTGGGAGAAGGGTCGGAAAGTCAGACGCGGCTGTGCCCCCCTCAATACATCCGAATTCCAGGGCCAGGGAGTCCACTCACCCTGCATCCCTGGCCCCTCAGGAACCCGTCCCAGGACTCGAGTCCACCTCGCGAAGCCTGAGGTCCAGCCCTCTCCCCGCCTCCCAAGTCAGGACTTGACCTCAGAGACCCCGCCCCGGGACCCGGAAGTCGGGCTCCACCATTCCAGACCTGCCCACCTCTTAGTGACCCTAGAAGAGATCGACCTCACCTTCAGGGACCCGAGAATCCACCCCAGCACTGAAAGCCCCTGGAGTCCCGCCCATTCCTCCCCCGCCCCCCACATCCCTAGGACCCAGGAGTACCAGACCGCTTTCCCCTCCCGGGCAAATGGAGTGTGCACTCAAGACACGCCAACTCCGGAGTCCGGCACGGACCCTCACCCCCGAGCCAGGGGCCGCCCCCCTAGGGACCCAGGAACTTGGTTCCACCCCAATCTCCCCAAGGACCCAGGAGTCGGGGGTTCCCATCTTTAGGGACCCTGAAGTGGGGGGTTCCCACGGAACCGACTCCAGCCCCTCCTACAGGACCCGGGCTTCTGCGCGTCTTAGCCCCGCCACTCTGGTCCCGGCCCGGTCCTCCGGACCCTGGAGCACCTGTTTGAACAGCTGCAAGTGGACGGCCCGCCGGTGGAAGGCCTGCAGGGGCGCCCCGGGCTTCTGGGCCAAGAAGGCGTCTTCGTTGAAGGCCACAGGCTGGCCCTGGAAGAAGCACTCAAGTCCTGAGTTACCCGCGGCTCTTCTGGACCCCAGCTGCCGGCCTCCCTCCCTAGCATGCGGCAAACATCGATGGAGCGCCTGCTGTGAGCCTGATCCTGTGCAAGGCCTCATGGAGGCCTTGGGCTTTGAGGCTTTGACCCCAGAGAAATGGCAGCGCTGGAGAGCTGTGGGCAGAGGAAGGGGGCCTGACACAGGTGCTCACAGGTGACTTCTGGCCGCTGCGGGGAGGACAGACTGGGAAGCAGAGGAGTCGCAGGGGAGGATTCAGGGGGACGTGAGCGCGCTGATCCAGGTGAGCAATAACAGGGGCGAGAGAAGGGAAGGAACGGACAGATGCGGGGTGTGCTGTAAAGGCAGAGCCGAAGTTTTCGTAGAATAGTTGTGAAAACCCTGCAGGGACGGCGGGAGGGTTGAGAGTCAGCAGATCAAGTCCTGGCTGCAAAGCTCACCCCCTGTGGGCCTTCCACAAGCCCTGATTTCCTCATATGTAAAATGGGACCTAATATATCCATCTCAGAACACCACTGTGAGCATTAAATGAGATCATAGTAAAACCTAGCATTCACCGAGCGCTCACGACGTGCTAGGCACTATCCAAGGATTTTGCACATGCCCACTCACTGACACGACCCTTTGGGTGGGTACCCGCAGGATTCGTTTTACAGGTGAACACAGAGTAAGCACTCCATAAACGCTGGATATCATTACTATCAGTCTGAATCCTCAGGGACCTCCAAGGCCTCTCCGCCTGCGTCCCGGGTACTCACTGGATTGCAGGTGAGAGCTTCGCGGTATCCCCCAAAGAGCAGGGCCTGGGCTTTGAGGAACAGACGGGACACCCCTTCTCCGGGGGCCAGCGCGACCTTCCTTAGGCGCAACCTCAGCAGGGACACCTGCAGGACATGGGGGCGACCTGAGAGGGCAGGGGTGGGGCCTCCGACTCCCAGGTGTGGCAAGAGCGTGCAGGGGGTGATACCGACCACATCCGGGGGCAGCGCCTGCACGTCATCGAAGGGCGATTCCAAGGTATTGGAGTCCACGTTCATCATCACGACGTCCTCAAGGCCTTTCTCCCTCACCCTCTGCGTTGGGGAGTATAAGGGGACATGGCCGCTCAGAGCCCAAGGACTCCTGGCGAGGGGGTGGTACCTGGCGATGCAGAAGGAGGGAGACCCGTCCGCTCCCGAGGTTCGGGTCCATCTCCACTCACCTCGGCGAGACTGGTGTGCACCCCGATCAGGTAGGGCATGGGCGCGCTGCAGACGACAGAAGGGGGCAGGGTCATGCAGGCGCCGCCGGGCGGAGGGCCTCCAGGACTCCAGGACTCCTCCCCAAGCCCTGCCCCTTCCCAGCCCCGCCCCTCACCAACAGTAATCCAGCAGATGCGGCGGCAGCGTGGGGATCAGCACATGCTCCCAGCGCATGGGGTACAGGAGGGCGCAGGACGCGTGGACGCACGACGTCAGCTGGGGACGGCGGGGGGCGGGGCGCCGTGGAGTCAGGGCCGGGGCTCCTCGCTCCGTTTCCCACGTGCCCTGTCACCGGTCCCACCTCCCTCCCCATCCTCTACAGGGTAACAGGTGAAAACTCAGATCTTCTAGGAGTCACGTGAA